GCATTTTCATAGGTCATCATGGAACGCTTCTTTAATGCCGCCTCTAAGGGTATAGCCACTATCTGTTCCTAAAGTGTTCTGCACAGAACACGAAGAACACTCAGTTCAGAGGAATCCAATGGGTGCTACGGAAGCAGTAGATTTGCTTGTTTCGTAGACGTCGTTCTTATCACTTGCTAGTGCTAATGTGCTGATAAGACCGGAGCGCGGCAAAAACTACACGTTGTAATGTTGCTGGAAATGACGACAGGAGAACGATCATTCGTCCAAAGAGATTACATTAGTAGTTATTCTTTCTACCACTATTTCCATGTCTATTTCGCGCTGTGCAAGCACTCTGCAAGAAATAGATTGAGTGATAGATAACTCGGCTTGGAGGGGCACTAAATGGTACTTGGTGAAGTTTGCTTAAGCCACTTCGTGGAGACCGTGAGTGTCGTGTAACCAAAGTGGCTCACTGTACCATTTTGCACCTCCTCAGGAGTTTACAAGTCTCGCTAGACTGTAACCTGTCAATTAGCATGAACTATCAAAAGGAACCAGGGAAGGTGCAGAATGTCCCTCTGAAACCGAACAGCGCTGATAAATCTTCAATGGGCAACTTCTTCCAAAAACCCACAGTTAGTGGCGCAATCTGGTTCATAGAGAAATCTCAGGTCGACGAAATCCTATGGAACCTACAGAATATTGAGGCTTTGTGGACCTTTTTCTTTGCCTCTACAAACTGGGTTTCATAGAAATGGCGTGATCAAGTTGATTTTCGCCCGTCAGGCGCTATCCTTTGCCCTTTATCAATTCGTTCGTGGTTGCGTTTGATGGAGAGACGAACGAGCCGAAAAGGAATATGCCAGCCAATGTTTGCCCGAGTGCCACGTCGACGGGCGCCATTGTCGCATGCTGAATAAGCTTCGCTTATATTGAAATTCCGTGGATTCCTGAATTTTTCCGGCTGAACACCTCTAAGTCAGGCTCAAGCGTGAAATCTGAGTGAGACAAGCTGTCAACATCTCTCTTTGAGCATTTTGCATATAGGAATATAAATATCGTTGAACCTAATGTCCTATCTCGTTCGGGCTCACCAGACCACACAGTAACCGATTAAACGAGAGAATCGTTCCCACGTAGCTTCAGAGGAAGGAGTCATACCAGTCAGCTTCTGGTGTGAGACGACCTAGTCATCAGCGGTTTGCCTTTGACAGGTCCCCTCACGACAGCCCCCATTTTCAATCCGCGGCCAGTAAACTATCCTATTGAAGTGATGGTAACGCAGTGAATAGATCTGGTTGTAGTGCAAAGCTATAGGTGCCAGTTCGTGCCATTGAACAGGAGAACGTCCATTCATACAGTATCGCCGTAGGGTAAAGTATTTGGTATCAACCCTTTCCATCGGGATAGAAGCGCTGATGTGAAGATCGGGGACGTTCGATCGTTGCACCCTTGCACTTCTTTATGTGGGCAGAGTTGGCATCAAGAATCAAGTTCAGCTCACCATCAGCTCTATCACATTCGACCCTTATTTTCCCACTCACCAGGAAATCTCAGTTTACAACGGGAAGTTCTCAGTACGGAAAAGCTGAGAAATGGGCAGCTCTTCCAAAAACACCTGGGGACACAATATGTTAGTCTGCAGATACATTTTTCTCGTCCGTCCCATTTTTCGATATTTAAGAAGCATCTCGACTGGGAGGAATTGCTTCCCAGGAGTGATTTCATCCCTGAAGAGAATTCAGTGTAGGTTATATTGGGAAACGTATGATGTCACGTTACGACGCGCTACTTAGGCATCTTTTCGACGTTCGCGCTTCGTTTACTCAAAAAGTGGTATGTATTTAGAAAAGTCACATTACCCAAGGAAGGTATTTTCAGCAGACATGGTGCTTTGAGGGGCTATAAAACGCCATTATGTGGGCTTTATTTCTGTGGAATATTGAACAGGGGACGACTTGGCTGGGAAATGACTAGCGAGGCAGCTTCACCCCTGAACACGAAGAGCACATCTTTTAGCGAGAAAATGTTTAGCCCCGGCGCAGTTTGTCGACGGGGGGGGGGGGCATTGCTGCTTTCCATAGATGTGTGCCTACCTATCTAGGTAGCCTTTTCTCGAGTTGACACGTTTTAGGATGGTGGCTAGACAATCTTGCTCCAGCTTCACAAGAGTTCACAAGTTTTAACAGAGTGAGATTTGCAAACCGGAACTAGGGAAGCAATGGTAGTACAAAATGCCCCCCGTCGATAAACAGCGCCTTTAGCCCCTGTTCAAAGTTCCACAGAAATATAGCCCACATAATAATAAGTGGGGTCTTAATAGTGCACGGGTATTCAATCATGTGTTGGATCGTCGTTTCTAATTCAGTAATTCGTCAAAGTCTCTTCCTGCGTTGTTATTGCTCTTCGCTCCGATTGTTCTTGCACTTCAAAGTCATCACAATGATTTTGAAACCACGTTATCACTTTCGCCATCGTTCAAAATTTATTGTGATTGTTCTTTGTGCGTCGAATTGTTATTTATATCGTCACAGCGAACGCAGGCATGCAGTGTAGAGTGGTACAGTCATTAATTTAGGTGAATCTGTACGTAAAGAAAAAGCAAAGAATCAGTCAAAAACAGTACGAGATCTTTTTTGCAAGTATGCGATTAGCATTATACGATCGAAATTCGGGGAAACATTAGGCGCTTGAAATAGAGGGCAGAGAGGGCAGGCGGCGAGAGATAAGAGAGCGCAGAGACGGGTAGGACGGCAGGCTTCAACATGTTTGGCTCTATCAACTCTACAGGAATTTACAGATCTTCGCAAGGTGTCCTGCGCAAGCTTCGTTATGGACCATTCCATAGCTTCACACAAGAGTTTAGAGGTCTTCATGTCGATGAAGCGTAGCGAAATGCCCTTCCCCTTCCCCTCCCAGAGTCGAATAGCACCGAGCAGTTGCGCTCGCTTGGCTCGGATCTCGGTTGCCTTACATAATCTATATCAAAAGGTGTCTAGTAGACATGAGCAGAACATTTTAGTTATAGACAATAAATAAATAAAAAGCATGGCGCATTCCTCGGTATAACGTCGAGATATCTGGACCATTCGCTCGACTTCAGCGACTCCTTTCAGTTAAAAGTGTTTCATCCAACTAAGGAATCGTTCAATGAATCCTATAATCAAAGACCTGTTCCTTCGAATTTCCTGGAAATTTGCCCTTTATCATGGCGACGGCATCGTTGGGTCAAGGCTCGGTCGATCGCTATCTCGTCACTATTTCACCACGTAACCGGCCGCCCCTCTCCCTTCAGTCTCTTCCATTCATCCACGCTTTTATCGCTCGTCTGATTCAATAATCGCCTGATTTTTCGTACAGGTGGCCCGAAGGCGTGGCCTAAAATGGGCGTTTTCAGGCTGTCAGTGCCTTTAAAAACCGTCGATGGGCTTCGATTACGCCGTAGGAATACGGGCAATAAGGGGGTGAGGTGAACAATGGAAAAGGCTTTTGATTCTGAAATTCAGCCATATCAACTCACTCATTTCTCCAGTTATGCGGAAAATCCACCTATCTATAGAAGGAACGCTCCAGCGCCAGTGAGACCATATTTTGCAACAGAAAAAAAAACTTAGTGCCTGTGACTGCAAAGAAACGTGCGCAATCGAGCCACTTCCATATTGTCCGAGTTATGCCCTTCAACTATGAGCGTGAATTATCGCCAAAGGCTGAACCATAGATGGACCATCTCTTGCGTGGTTTAAAAGCCCTTTTTGCGTAGAGGATTGATTTACTCATCCCGGAACCTGTTCCTTCCCAGGCTAGGCCCATGTTCTCATCCCTGCACCAATCGTCGTGAATTTAAATGCTCTCTATGCTTAGTCCCGAAAGGTGAAAAGTCGTTGGGATTGCACCCACGACCTATAGGCTAAACACGCTGAATTATTCCCATAAAAAGAAGTCAGTGCTCACCAAAATCTTGGAACCGGTGATGTTGCGTAAAGAGTGCGTCTCGACCGCACCTACACACAATCAATCCTTTAGACGTGAACTTTACGCTTTTTGTCAATTTGAATTTTAGGCCACCGCTTTTTTTCAGGGTTTCGCCGGTTTCAGTGAATTTTTTATCTATTCTTGCTGTTTTTGAAAAATATTTGGCATTCCGAAATCTGAGACCTACACGTCATATGTATAGTGTGTGTGTTTTTCCGTCGCGACTAGGATTTCGATTGAAATGCTTTTCCTTGTAATAAAGGCAAAATGTTCTATATTGTAGGTAACAAACGACACAATGGCCGCTTCCAAGCCCGCCTACAAGGTCGCTGATATCGGCCTAGCCGATTTTGGTCGTAAGGTATGTTAGCAGAAGGCTTTCTGCCTTTTACAACTTCAGTAGTGTCTGCTGTTTCTGCTGTTTACGCCTCCTTTTTCCGAAACGCGCGCTAGATTTATACAGAGTTTGTTAATATGTGAATTTAAATGGGAAATCGTCTAGTAAGGTATAGTCTGGTTCACCGCGGATGATGGGGAGTGTCACAGCGGTATGCTTTGGCGCGGTGATAAATCATTTTCCACCAGTTTTTTGACGACTTCCTTTTGTCGCGAAAACGCCGCGCACTACTGTTGCAAGCGCCGGCGGCTGTATAAATAGCTATTCAACTTGCGAAAGAATTGCAGACTGGCGAAGTTATTGATGAAAATTCGCGCAGGTCCGCAAAGTACCCTACAACAGCGAATTGTGCTATGCAGTAGTAGGAAGGTTGCTGGGGGTTGTTAAATGCAATTCCGCGTTCATCGAGTGTGTGGAGACATCGTTTTTCCGCCTTTTCTCAGGTCCTGTACTTCTGAGACGTTTACTTGGAAAGGTCCCTGTCTTGTTGCCTATCGGCGAAGATTGTGCATTTAAGGGACCCTTAGGGATAGTCTTCTTCATGGCACCCCTAGAAAACCTCGCGCCTGTACCAGTTTTAGGCCCAAGTAATGTAAGTCGAGTGTAATTTGATAAAACTACCTATCGTATTTCAGGAGATCATCATCGCTGAGAATGAAATGCCTGGACTGATGGCGATGCGTGCGAAGTATGGTCCGACCAAGCCGTTGAAGGGTGCCCGTATTGCTGGATGCCTTCACATGACCATCCAGACGGCAGTTCTTATCGAGACTCTTATCGAGCTTGGTGCTGAGGTAAGCAGCTCTTAAGACAGCTTTTTATCACCTTGACGTCATCACGTGTGACATTACCTAGTGTTTGGGATAAGCTAGCCAAACGGTTTCCTGTAAGCTACGTTGCTATAATTGGCGTAGGGATGTGAAAATGTAGCACAGATTCCTTACTGTTAAAAACTAGGATATGGCGTGTCATCTAGCACATTAAAGGGGACATTGAGGTGTCTCATATGCTGGAAACCAGCGTTTTATCGGGTATGTGTCAGGACAATCGTAATATGCTGAGCGGGGCGAGAGACGCCGCGCACGCTAGAGACGAGTTGTCGTGCCCCACCGTTTGAATGTGAATGTCAAAGGGACGCGAAAGATCGATATCACTTAGTATAGCGTATTGTCTCCGCTTGAACTCCTACGAGTGTTGCGGCTTCAACTGATGAGCTGGTGACGCGCATCTAGAATTTGCCGCTTACAGCGCGCGCGACGGTGCGACAAATTGCGGGTGTCTTGTCGGTCCTCTCATTGTGTCATTGTCAGTGATATGTTAAAGCACTTTAATGACGCCTATTGACACGTCATCAACGTGTTGTGTGACGTCAATGGTACGTCACTTACTTCTCAGTGGGAAACCCTTTGGAACATGCATACAGGCTACATCAGAGCCCATTTGTAAGAATCCATTCACCAGGTTTCCATTCCATCCTCTTTTATTATTTCAGGTGCAATGGTCGTCATGCAACATTTTCTCTACCCAAGACCATGCTGCTGCCGCTATTGCTGCTACTGGTGTTCCAGTCTATGCCTGGAAAGGCGAGACCGACGAAGAATACGAGTGGTGCATTGAGCAGGTATGTGGGATTAAGATTAGATTTCCCTATGATAGGGTTTATCAACCCCTTTATGGGATGCATACTGTCGGGTTCGCCGCAGTGCTGGAGCGTGCAAGGCGCTGTGGTTGTCGCGGCGCCAACCCGTTCTCCACTAATTGCTAAAGCGAACAAGCGACGTCAACTGGTGAAAACAGACTGGCGCCATACCAAATCGCCCCCTCCCCTCTCACCCCGGCATCCGCAGCGGACAAGACTGTGACCCATTTTTCTTCTACTCAGAGACCGTAGTTTTGAGGGCCGGTACAGTGACTTGCAAGAGTGAGCCGATATCAAAAGTCAGCGAAGCCTCAGCTGGCAAGTGCACTGGACGCGATTCGATCCGGTGCTTAATTTTCGAACTGCGCGTGGCAAGCGGCGCCATCACACAAGCACCTCTCGAGCTGGGATTAGTCGAACCACCTTTCGGGATGGATAACGAATTTAATAAAACTGCTCAATGACGGAATGCTCAATAAGTTGTTTCACTCACTTCGAACACCAAAAATAAGGCCTCAGTCAAGGACCATTGCAGCATATCTGGTCCCCGTGTTATTTCTACATTATACCCTTTCCGTCAAAGACTCGTTTATATTAATTTCCACAGCTGCAATATTATGATTCAAATTCTAACGCAATTCCAGACTCTCGTCTTCAAGGATGGTCAACCCCTTAACATGATCCTTGACGATGGAGGTGATCTCACCAACCTTGTTCACCAGAAGTACCCACAGTACCTTGAAGGTATTCGTGGATTGTCCGAAGAGACTACGACTGGAGTTCATAACCTCGCCAAGATGCTCGAGAAGGGAGAACTGAAGGTGCTGAGTGAACACAATGCTTTAGTTACAAAGGATTTTTTAGAAATCAGCTCTTTTCAACTTCAAATTTGTGTGATGCAGGTCCCAGCAATCAATGTCAACGACTCCGTCACAAAATCC